ATTTTTGTACTTTTAGTAGAGACGGGGTTTCTCCATGTTGGCCAGGATGGTCTCGAACTCCCGACCTCAGGTGATCCGCCCGCCTTGGCCTCCCAAATTGCTGGGATTATAGACTGAGCCACTGTGCCCAGCTGTAGCTAAGATTTCTAATGCACTTCACCTTTTTATTATTTGAGTTTCAGTAACAAAATATCAGATACGAAAATTGCCAGATGTGCTACAGCTAAAGTTAGTTACTAAGTCAAGAGCATCAGATTCAGTTTGACCAAGTCTTTGACAATTATCCTGACCAGGAGAAGACTGCTGATCTTAGAAACAGGTATCAGGCTTTGTAAAAGTCTGCTGGGTTTTGTTTGTGTAGTTTGGTTTTACCTTAACTGTAGATTTACCTTATTGCGTGTGTGTATTATTGCTGTTGGGTAATGTGAGCATTGTGAATGCGTTTACATCTGTGTTCTTACTGTCTGTATACCACTTCCTAGAGAGGGAACCATGTGCTGGATTTAGCCAGTCATGCATTTTTCTATACCTTAAATCAAACTGGGCCATGCTTCACATCTACCCACAGTGAATAGGGGTCCTTTGATTTAGAAAAAATAGAGTTGACTGAATTCTGAACAAGTGAGTATTTTGTGAAAAACATTATTTTTCATTTTAAATATAAATGCCTAATACTGTGTATTCATTTACCCTTTATATCTCTATACATGCTTATCTTTTGTTATACCTTAGAGAAATGACCCACCATCAGTGAAAAGAAAGAAAGGCGTAGGCTGGGTGCAGTGGCTCACGCCTGTAATCCCAGCAATTTAGAAGGCCGAGGCAGGCAGATCACGAGGTCAGGAGTTCGAGACCAGCCTGGCTAACATGGTGAAACCCCGTCTGTACTATAAATACAAAAATTAACCAGACGTGGTGGTGAGTGCCTGCAGTCCCAGCTGCTCAGGAGGCTGAAGCAGGAGAATTGCTTGAATCCGGGAGGTGGAGGTTGCAGTGAGCCAAGATCGTGCCACTTACACCTTAAAATGGTAGATCATTTGTGGCCATTTGAAGTTCTTGAAGAATCGGAGCCATGTGTTACATAGTTATTTTAGAATCTAAAGTTGTTCTGTATTTATATAAAGTTTCTATTGTTTCTTTCCTTTAAACCCTGAAAGTGGTAGTTGGGAAGGAGGAGCCAGATATTTGGCATGGCCTGACAAAAATTAACTTATTTATTTATTTATTTATTTATTTATTTATTTATTTTTGAGACAGAGTCTCACTCTGTCGCCCAGCCTGGAGTACAGTGGCACCATCTCAGCTCACTGCAACCTCTGCCTCCTAGGTTCTAGTGATTCCCCTGACAGCCTCCCCAGCAGCTGGGATTACAGGCACGTGCCACCACACCCAGCTAATTTTTGTATTTTTGGTAGAGACGGTGTTTCACCGTGTTGGCCAGGCTGGTAACTCCTGACCTCAAGTGATCCACTCACCTTGGCCTCCCAAAGTGCTGGGATTACAGGCGTGAGTCACCGCACCCAGCCTAACCTGTCTTTATAGCAGGATATGCTCGCAGTTGGAGTATTTTCAATACATTGTGTATTCCGTGGATTTGTGG